GTGTGTGTGTGTGTGTGTGTGTGTGTGTGTATGTGTGTGTGTATTTACAGATTAAATGCTAATGATATTAAATTGATTAATTATCAGTTAATTTAATTGTAAGATTATTTCAGTTCATGATTGTGTTTCATAGTTGTGTTTCAAGTCCGACAAACTAAATCGGTGCACAATCTATAGAATTAATAATTATATTTGTATAGTCACATATGAATGTTACTAAGCATCAAAATTCACTTTGATCGAAAAAAATTTCTTCACGATTGGGAAAGTTATTTTTGTAAAAGTAACTAATTACAAAGTTACAATTTTTTCTTTTAAAAAGTAACTAGTTATTGTTACTCGTTATTGATTTTGGAAAGTAACATATTGTCAGTTACTTAATTACAGTTACTTAAAAAGTAACAAGTCGTTTCTTTATAATTATTTTTTTATTAATTTTTTGTAATTTTATGCTTTGCTATTTGAAATGCAATAGTCTTATACATCTTTAGCATTACTAAATTATGTTATATTGAACATTCAGTTATACATTATATTAATGATAAATTGATTATATTATTTAGTTTTGTTATATTTATGACAAAATAATTGTATACTTAGAAAATCAAAATTTGTAGGATTAATATTATTAAAACGTGTTTACATACTAAAAGATTTTAATTTTTAATATAAACATATTTTTATAGAGATGGTTATCAAGACTAAAGATATATTCCAATCACAAGAAATAATTACTATTGTTTACATTAAACATTTTATTTTGGTCAATTCATATGTTGACGAATAAGTTTGAAGCGTATAAAGTAACTGTAAATGTAACTATTAAATTAATGATTAGTTACCAAAGAAATATAACTTAAGTTAAGTTACAATTATAGATGGAAAGAAAGGAACAAAGTTATGTTAATTATTGGAAAAAAATAACCTAATTGTAATTTAGAATTAACGAGCTGCAATTAGAATTACAAATTCCTTCTTGTATTTCTTCTCTTTATTTGTGTTTATATTTATTTATATAAATATTTATATTAATGGATTTATATTAATGGATATTAATTTTAATGGCTACTTGATTATTTTTATTATAACTTTATTTCTTATAGGTTGATTTTGATTATTTATATATTATCTTATGTGAGAAAGTATGTGAAGCTTGTAACTTTTTTCAAGATATTGAAATTACATTATAAGTCTTTACAATTTATCGGTAATAAATAAGGTCATTTAATGCCGAAACCGATGAATATTGTACATAGTTTTAATTATACATTAGATTTATACGATATGCAACATTATTTATAGACAGAAATATTTTTGCCTCGAGAAATGCAATTATCCTGTCAAATGTTTTCTCTATCTTCTGAATTTTTTTATGTTCTTGTTTGTACTGTCGTGTTGATTGTATTTTTACTATTATTGTGTCGATTCTATAAACGTTATACTTTCCCAATGGCACAGATTTTTTGACGATATCTTCTATAGCACAGCAAGCTGCAAGGGGAGAGTTCTTCATGTACTCGAGATGTAACGCATTCATGGGAAATGTCGCAAAGCTCAAACGAGAGCTTCGCGCCCGCAACTTTCAGTGACCGATGAATTATCCTCAGAGTCAAGACAAGTACGAAGAAGTTCGCGCGCGGAATTCGCCACATGTTGATGCGTTTTTCCTCACTAATCGGCTGTGAATTCTCTTTTTCCAGATCCGTACCTGAAGTGGACCCTGCAGCGCTCTCTTAACATCGATTACGGCCAGAACATTCTGCCACGCCATCAATGTCCGAAATGTCATCGCAGTTATAAACATCGTAGTCACATGATGCGGCATTACAGATACGAGTGCGGCATACCGCAGCGATTTGAATGTCCGTACTGCAAGCATCACTTGCGACAGCGTACGCACGTGTGGACGCACATACGCACGTTCCATCCGGATCGTGAACTTTACTGCATCGATATTGTCACCAACTCGAGGCTGTGTTGGCAGGAACCTCGAAGTGACTGAGATAAATCGGTCACAGAGCGACTGCCTTTAAAAAATTAGAGTCTGTTATGTTTATTTGATTATATCTTATGATATATGAGAAATATTTAATCTAAATTGATTGATATGTTCAAAAAGAGAATTATATATATGTGTGTGTGTGTGTATATATATATATGTATATATATGTATATGTAT